ATATGCCAAGAAAAAAATGGCAAGTATACTATAATACACACTTTTGCATAACTCCAATAGCCCATCTTAATAGATGACCTTTCTGTTTTAGAACCCTTCCTATGTTTCAAGAACTTGTGTGGTAGGGTCCTGGCATTGCAACTTCAAAATTGGGGGTGGGGGGGGTCACAGCCTATAGCAGTGTTTCTCAAAGTGGTCTGCTAAACCACTTTGAGCAATCTGTTTACCAGCATCATAGCCATGGAGCCTCATGGCTCCTATTGGCTCCATTTCACTGTTTGCAGCCAAGGGGAGCTGCAGGAAGCAGCATGAGCTTGCGGCTCCCCTTGGTTGCAAACAGTGAAAAGGAGCCATGTGGCTCTATGGCCACAGCGCTGGTAGGTAAACAAACCAGTGTGGCCAGTTAACAGGTTTCTCAAAGTGGTTTTGCAGACCACTTTGGGAAACACTGGCATATAGCATAGTTGAGCTGCAATCCAGGAGCCTGGAAGGTTGATAGCAAGATCTACTGGGTTTCTTCAGGCACCGGGTTAAAAAGGTAGGAAAAGCTTTGGGGTAGTGTAGTGGGGATTCTGCAAGGGACCAGTGGTTTACATTTCATCCTACATAAGAGGCCAAAAACAGAGGGAGGATCTTGGAGTCAAAAATGATACTTACATGAATTGCCTGGCCAGACTGAATTGTTATAGCACAGGTTATACAGAAAGTTTGGTTTCATAAATAGTCACTTCCAGTTGTCAGAACAACCCATATCTGATTGGACATGTATGTGAGTCCAATGGAGGCCCTGGAGGTTTTTCGCCTTCCTCTGTAGCATGGGGTACAGATCACAGCTAGCGGATTCTCTGCATCTTGGGGTCTTCAAAGTATTTGAAGGCTTCAATATCTGAGATATAGGTGAGAGGATTATTCTAGGAGGGGGGGTGAGATTTTGTGGCCTGCACTGTGCAGGGGGTGAGACTAGATGATCATAATGGTCCCTTCTGACCTTAAAGTCTGAGTCAGGGTGAAGAAAAGTACAAAATTCCCCAACTGCTGCTGTACCTTCCCCATATTCCCAAATTGGAGGATGGGGAAATAGATGAGTAGATGGAAGAAGGAGCAGACTGGGGGTATGTCTACACTGTGGGACAAAGTCGAAATAAGATGCGCAACTTCAGCTATGTTAATTGCGTAGCTGAAGTCGAAATAGCTTAACTTGGCTTTTGGCACAGTCCACACTTCAAGAAGTTGAAGGAAGAACACTCTGCCTTTGACTTCCCTTACTCCTTGTGAAATGACGGTTACGGGCATCGACCGGAGTGCCCCTCTCAGTTCAAATTAGTTGTCTTATCTCGACCGGTAATTCAAACCCTGGAAGATCGACAGCGGCAGTTTCCATCTTCCTCTGCAGTGTAGACGTACTGGATGTTTAAGAAATAGGATGGTGGGCCTATTTATTAAAAAGTAGTCAGGGATTAAAGGTCATGGAGAAGAAATGTTTTCAAACGGGATTCCAACAGGGAAACACTGGAACATTTTGTTTAACCTTGTCCACATGCAGGGCTGCCAAGTTCCTCTGTTTCCATCTTCACAGGGTTTTTTCTAACTCAGTGGTTTCCAAAGTTTTTAAGCATGAGATCACTTTTTGAATTTAAGTGCAATCCAGGATCTACTTCAAACCCAAACAACCTTGCCCCACCTCCTTCCTGCTCCTTCTCCGAGGCCCTGCCCCTGTTCACTCCATCCTCCCTCCCCCAACCTCGCTCACTTTTATCAGGCTGGGGGCACAGTGCTGAGGGTGTGGGGGAGGAGATGCAGACCCTGATCTTGGGCTAAAGGATTTGGAATGTGGGAGGGGTTCTGAGCTGAGCCTGGGGCAGGGTGTTGAGGTGCAGGAGGAGGTTCAGAGTGCAGGCTTTGGGAGAGAGTGTGGATGCAGGGGGACTCAGGGCTAGGGCAAGGATTTGGAGTGCAGGAGGGTTCAGGACAGGGGCTGGGGTTAGGAATGTGGGCTCCAGCTGGACACTACTTACCACAGGCTTCTGGGTGGTGGTGAAGGGGGCTAAGGCAGGCTTACCCCTACCCTGGCCCTGTACCTCTCCCAAAAGCAGCCAGCAAACTCTCTCCATCCCTGTCCCCATCTGCTCCGTGGAGATGGGGTACAGGGTTGGGGAGGGGCACCCTAACATTAGCACCCCTCCTTCCTCTTCTTCCTGTGCTCTGCCCAGCAAGCAGGAGGCTCCCAGGAGTGGGGGGCAACTCGAATGTAGAGGGCAGGAGCAGCACAGCAATGCTAAAGGGGCAGATGAAGAGCCGGCACTGGATAGCTTCCTGGCCAAACAGGTCAGGATCACCTGTCAGAGGTTCCAAGATCTACCAGTAGATCCCGATCTACTGGTCAGCGATCACTTTTCTAAATGGTATTACTAAAGTGACACGCACATAAAGCAAGGACACGTGAAGTAAGGTGTGTGCTGATTGCATACAGTGTTGACTGTGAGAGCCATATGCTCCCTCTGCCAATCATTCAAGTGTTCAATCAGCACATCCTGCAAATTCTTGGTACGCAGGTGCAGTTAGCAGAACATCCCTGTCCTGGGAGACCGTCTTAGTTCCAACAATGTTACTGCCTACTCAGATGAAGATGGGACGCTCATATAACCCACTTCCTAGCCTAGGTTGCCTATCACTGCTCTGGAGAGAATCAGAGTAGTAATACATGCAGAAGTATGAGTGAGAATTGCAGTGAAGTTATCAGCCTAAGAACTTGCTGGTGACCCTGAAGTAGTTGCACAAGAATTTATATAAATGTCCCAGAAACAGATCCTGCAACCCTTATTCTGGCTCTGGGTAATCCTTACTTGCATGAGTAGTCTGATTACCGTATATTCCGGCGTACAAGATGACCTCTGAAGTTAAAAAACATCCCCCAAAAATCGGGGGTCGTCTTGTACGCCGGATGCCCCGCCGCCGGAGCCCCTCCGCGGCTTTGAAAGCCTGGGGGGAAGCCGGCGGCCGGGCATCCCAGGCGCGCCTGGGATGTATACCCGGCGTACAAGACGACCCCCGATTTTTGGGGGATGTTTTTTAACTTCAGAGGTCATCTTGTACGCCGGAATATACGGTAATCAGACTACTCATGCAAGTAAGGATTACCCAGAGCCAGAATAAGGGTTGCAGGATCTGTTTCTGGGACATTTATATAAATTCTTGTGCAACTACTTCAGGGTCACCAGCAAGTTCTTAGGCTGATAACTTCACTGCAATTCTCACTCATACTTCTGCATGTATTACTACTCTGATTCTCTCCAGAGCAGTGATAGGCAACCTAGGCTAGGAAGTGGGTTATATGAGCGTCCCATCTTCATCTGAGTAGGCAGTAACATTGTTGGAACTAAGACGGTCTCCCAGGACAGGGATGTTCTGCTAACTGCACCTGCGTACCAAGAATTTGCAGGATGTGCTGATTGAACACTTGAATGATTGGCAGAGGGAGCATATGGCTCTCACAGTCAACACTGTATGCAATCAGCACACACCTTACTTCACGTGTCCTTGCTTTATGTGCGTGTCACTTTAGTAATACCATTTAGAAAAGTGATCGCTGACCAGTAGATCGGGATCTACTGGTAGAGTGAGCATAGTGTGCAGAATCAGACCTCAGCTGGATGTGCAGAATGAAATGAACTCAGTAAAATATGGACAGTTTTTTGGGATGCAATTATCTTATTTCCATTTTTAAAACGAAGTGTGAATTGTTGAAATGATGCAGTAGAATTGTGATAATGAATAAGTTTAAAGTACATTTATTTTTCACTATCATAGTTGAATTTCTACTACCTGAAATAGTTAATGTGCATCTTTTTCTGCGAAGGGATAGTATGACCTCTCTATTTCATTTTAGAAATTTAAAATATAACGCATTACATCAGGCACTGTGAAAATTAGTGTTGCGGCAATGTCCTCACGGTTGTCTTTGGAGGGATTAATATGAGACTAGGAATAATTTAATAATTTTGAATCTGAGGGAAAACTTTTTTATGTGGTGACACAACAATGAATACAATTTTTGAATAAGGATGTCAACATGTAGACAACTACAGAATTAACTGATAAGCCCAGTCTTATTAATTAATCCTGTTGACTCTACACATTCTCTCCTCCTCCCCCTCCCTGCTTCCTCTGTATCAGAGAGCAAATGGGGGCGGGGGAGGCAGGAGCTGGTGTCTGTGGAGAGTGGGACACCAACTCCCCCTGAGCCAACTTTCCCTGAGCACTGGATCCGTGCTCCTCCCCTGCACTATTGCTTCTGATAGAGAGGCAGCAACACGGAGGGTGTGGAGGCAGACAAGAACTGATTCACGTGAGGAGCTGGCTTTCAAGCCAACTCTCTGTGCATGCCAGCTCAGTGGACCACCTGCTCACTCCCCCTCTCCCCCCCTTCTGCCTCCTACAGAGCTGCAGTGGGAGGAGAGGAAGGGGAGGCTGCTGTGGAACAGTCTCTGTCCATGGCGAGTCTGATCTTGCCACATACAGAGGCTGCTCTGTGGCATCAGTTCCTGTCTGCGGGGGGCCCAAGCAGCCTCTGTTCATGGGGATCTCGGACTCCCCATGGTCAGGGGCTGCTGCTACCACGTGCTGTATGAGAGGCAGCAGCGCAGGGTGGCGGGGGGAGCCGGTCTGCATGGGGAGCTGGTTTTTAAACCGGCTCCCCTCACAGACCAGCTGCTGCCTGCCACCCCGCGCTACTGCCTTTAATAGACAGGTAGCAGCGTGGGGTGGGAGGAGGGCTTACTGGGAATGGGTCCAGGAGCACACTAGCTGCCTGCCCCACCCCTGGCGACTATCGAATAGTTGTTTTACCACTAAAGTTTTATGCAGTTACGTGACTATTCATTTACACACTATCTAACATCCCTATTTTTGAACGGTCTTTTAATTAACAGTACGATCTTTTTTCAACTAAATCCCATCTGGTGGTGCTTCATGCTGCATGCTTTGAACTGGCAGTTTTAAATATGGCACATTTAGATTATCCAGGGCCAGATTTTGCTATCAATAATCAGATCTCTACTTTATCACTAAAGATGTAAAATAGGCAGGTTTTTTTTTAATGGATCTAAATGCTTCTGCAATTTGCACTTATTCAATCTCTGGGCATCTAAAGCTAAATGGTGCAATTCTGATGCACAGTTTAACCTCTCACATCTCTTAATATTAAGCATAATACCAGCACTTTCCAAAAGTGCCCACATATGCATTCCAAACCATAGAAGCCAAACTCAGGAAAAAACAGTGTTTAGAACTGTCAGTACATTTGGTTTATTAATAAAAGTAAAATGTCAGGGATTTTTTTCTGAAACATGAAGTCTGTTTTATTTTAGCCCGCAAATTCACAGACAAGCACGAGTGGATATCTGTTGAAAATGGTATTGGGACAGTAGGAATCAGCAATTTTGCTCAGGTATTGACTTT